GATAAGATGCGTGCTCCAATTTTCCAGTCCGACGTATGGAAATTATCGGTTTCATTAAGCCTCAGCATTAATGAGTGGATTATTTTCTTCTCATTATTTACTTCATAACCGATTTAGAATGTATGTCATTAATATGTTTCATAATTTTGTAAGAATGTTCTCGCAAAAACTTATCGTATGTGAACGATCGAAATTTGAAATACCTGAGCCGTGTTACTTTCGCATTTCAAACCTCTAACGGTACTCAAGTATTGTAGTGAGACGCGTCTAGGGTGGATCCCCAGATAGGCCCGCAATATCATTTCCCCCATTTGGCGTGGAGGCGCACCACTCGTATAGTAGTTGTCCTACTACGACGCTATTATTCATTCTGAAACTGTTGTGCTTCAGTATATATTGTAACTGCGAATATAGCTTACGCAAAAATATTTTGTAGAAGTTCGGTTGCTTTTAGTTATTATTGTATCTCTGATTTTTTCGTACAGTGTTCCACTTCATAATTAATGAGGGAGTGTTTTTTGTGTAAATCATTGGCCGATAAACTTAACTTTAGAGCAAAGAGGGAAGATATTAAAAAATTCACGGTAGAGATTTTGAAACAGTGTAAGTTGTTCTTAAAATCAAGACAGCATCATGATCACAAATACAAAGATGTGATGTTGCCTCATTCCCACGATGACGAGTTCATTGGATATTATTCGTCATGTTATAAGGAATTCATTGTTAAGAATAATACGTGTTTATATTTGTGTATTTGCGTCGATATCAGTTTATGATAAATACTGAAGATTGGAAAAATAACGGTAACGATACTTTTTGAATTCTCTGTTACAAATAGTTGCATGCGCATGAAAATGTAATTGTATTTTCGCGCGTTACAAATTTTATTCAACAAATATTATTTATGCTAACTATTCGTGATAGCAACTTTGATATTGTTCGTAGTTACTTTATTTTAACTTTATTATGATGTGAATACGGGATAAAATAATCTTTTATTGTACTGTAACCTAAGAAGCGCAACTTCGTTGCAGTACTATTAACCGTTTCATTGCAATTTCTAATTCAACAATTACTTAACAAATTTCATTGTTCATTCAATTTATAATCGCATTCTGATTTTTGAAGTGTATTGGCATCTCCCACTTCTTCTAATTTGGCCTTACAAATTGATGAAACATTGCCTACTTCTCATTCAAAATTTACATCGACTGTTACGGCTGGATTTTCAAGTTGTTCAGAAAGTTCACAACAAACACTTATGGATGTTGATGAAGAGTGAGTTGAATTATAGTTATTATAAGTCGAGAATATTGCTGTCTCTTTCTATAAGTATATTGCTCAGTAAAAGTATGACATTTTATTTTACTTCTCATTTACCGGCAATTCTCCATAATGTCTCAAATAATGATGATGTTTTTAACTTTCATGAAAAAAAATCTACAGTGATTTTTGAGTCTGAATAAGTATATTTTCTGACAGAACAATTATGAAGCTTATCGATCAACTTTGATACTTCGAGAAGTAGAATAGCATATATGTTCTACATAATCTCTCTCGTGAATTCGCCAATTTGAGAAAATATCACTATAATATGAAGCAGCATTTGTATATTTTCAATACAATAACTATATGTATATAGCGGTGTTCTAGAGGTAACATCAGCGTTTAGTAATGTAAGTGTCTTGAGTTCGAATCCAGCTTGGAGTAAAAAAAAATTTTTCTGCGATTTCGTTATATGAAAGGCGGTTTCTAATTAACGCCAATGCGAGATAGTTTATACTACTTAATTAACCCATTACTGCCCATAGGGTCGCTAGCGACTCACGACAAATATGTTATCAAAACTACAGTCTCAACTGCAACTAGGTTAACCACTACCTACTTCCACAATGTCACGTGTCTATTTCTGCCGTCAAACTTACTGAAGTGAAGTTATAGTTGGTTAAGGGTTCTCGATATCATTCAAACTTTTCCATCATATTTTTTATGTGTTGAGAATGGCTGCGCTTCCTAAGGATACATACTGGTAAGTAAGTTATTTCGTTATTGTATGTAAGATAGTTGCTTTCAGTAAGTCTCAATAATATTGGGGTTAGATTTGCCAATTCATATTTAACATAGTTGTCACGTTTAGGGCATTTGAATTCTAAAGCTCTCTGTAAATTATCGAAAAATTCCTTCACATTTGTTTCATTAAATGCCGAGACTCTTGCCATACTGGTATTTTCTGCCTTCCTCAATTGCCGGGTTTACACGCACGCTCTTTACCGCGTGATTAGGAGTGCGCGGGATTGAACGCGGGAAAGCGCGCGCGCGCAATCGCGAGGGATTGTTTTGTCACGTTTTTTTATGCACTTATTCTTTCGCGCGCGATTATTCGTGCGTTTTTAAGGGAAGAGGAAAGATTGTGCGTGTAAACGATAATCGCGCGCGATTGAACGAAGGAAAGCGTGGCGCGTTGGAGTGTGTGAAAATTACGGAGGATTGTAGTCGCGCCGTAGTGAAGTCGTACCTCGCTTGCGAAATGGACGATCGTAGAAGAAAATTTAATCAAGCTGTTATGTTCGCCGGTCTTTGTATGATAAATAATACAAGAAAAAGAAGATCGGTATGGGTAAAAAAATACAGAGAACGATTAAGTCATTTGCCGCTGATACGAGAGTTACGAGACAATTATCCTGATGATTTTAAAAATTATTTACGAATGGACAACGAAGTGTTTAATATATTATTAAATAAAATAAAAGACAAGATAACCAAACAAGATACAAATATGAGGCAAAGTATAACTGCAGAGGCAAGATTGGCAGCCACTCTGCGATATCTGGCTACAGGACGCTCATTAAAAGATTTACAATACAGTACTGGTATATCAGCACCATCGCTTTCTAAAATAATACCCGAGACGTGTCGAGCTATTTATACAAGCCTTCAACCTGAATATTTCAAGGTATGTAAGTTCATCTTTTATTCCAAGTGAAAGGGTTGCTTGCTGGGAGGAAAAAAATATCACACGAACTTTATGTCAGTTTAATTAAAAAATTAAAGTTTTCATTCTAAATTAAGGTTAAATCCGATTGCTTCTCATAATAAGAACGGAGAGAGCTAGTGTTATCTGAATTTTGATGCTGTGTTTCTAACAAACTTTGACTAATGTCTTCCAATTGTTGTTCTGAATTTAGATCCTGTGTTTCTAAGTTTGATCGCTGTGTTTCTAAGTTTGATCGCTCTGTTCCTGAGAAACTTTGATATGTATTTGGCATATTGGTAT